GAGAGAGAGAGAGAGAGAGAGAGAGAGAGAGAGAGAGAGAGAGAGAGAGAGAGAGAGAGAGAGAGAGAGAGGACTGAGGTCTTCTAGTCCAAACCTTTCCATTGTTAGATGGGGGGAAGGGGGTCCAGAGAGGATGGTACTTGTGCCATAGCATCTAATTCCATGAAACCAGATAATAATAAAGTAAATTAAAGCAGGCCTTTTGTACTGGGATTATAACTCAGGGGTGTGGCGCTTGCCTGGCATGCAGGAGACTCTGGGCTCAAAACTCAGTACCATGTGGGTACAGTATGAATGCACGCATGCAGGCAAAGGTGACTCTCTGTGACTCTCATCAAATTAGTCAACTTAAGTGTCTGAAGTGTGTGCAGCCTCAGCACTTGCTCCTCTACCAGGCAAGGCAACTGAGGATATAATCTCAGCTTCACGGGCGGACTGCATCGGGGGCTACTCTCTGATTACCCAGGGGCTGCCCACCCTAGGTTGGTTTCAAATCTAGATTCAGAATCCCGGTCTGTATTTCTTTCATTGTATTTGTGTATATGCGTCTGGTGCATGCAGATATGTGTGTATAGGGGTGAAGGTGAGTTCTTTTGCACAAATGTGTGCTACGTGCCTGTGTGTGAACAGATATGCACGTAAAAGTCAAGAGCCATACTCTAGTGTTGTCATTTAAGGTATCTCAGACTGGGCTGGGCACAAAGTGTAATGTCACTTGGGAGAAGTAAAAGGTCCTAAGTCCTCCTCCTTCCCTCCCTCCCTCCCAATGTCAAGAAGCTAGATGTGGCTGCACAGCCTGTCACCCAGTATTCGGGGGCTGGAAGTAGAACCAGAAATTCAAGGTTATCTTTGGCCACAGGACGAATGCCAAGGCCAGCCAGAGACACATGAGGCTTTATCTCCAAACCAAAAAATAAAAAATAAAAAGTGCCTCTGGAGACCACCCTTTTTCTTTGGGACACTAACCGGTTCTAGCTCAAACCATGAGGAGTGCCCCCATCAACTAGACTGGAGCGGCCACTCTTCTCTAAGGTCCAGAGGGGATACACTGTCTTCTAGGTGCACTTCCTGTCTCTGCTCCCATGAACTTGCCCGGTGTGATTAAGGCATAGTAATGATCACAGTGACTAGGCAAAAAAAAGTTGTCAGTCAGGAGAGAGGGTGTGCCAAGCTTCAGGTCCACCTTCTTGGTCCCTGAAGCCGTGAGTAATTAGAACTTCCCAAGGCATTGTCCCCCAGAGGCTGCAGATAGAAACCTTAGGATTACCCCCTGTCCCAAGCTCAGAGATATGTGACACAGGGGCTTAGTTAACCCAACCTTTCAAGGTAGAGACTTGGGGAGAAATGGACACCTGGCTGGTATAGCCGTGGCAACATCACCGTATTGTTCCAGAGTGCTGGGCTACGAGGCAAGATGCCTGTGTTATAGTGCGAACCTTCCCACTGCCTGGCTGCACTTTTGAGCCTCAGGCACCCTGGCCCTGGTACATAATACTGCGCAGGAGGCCGTGTGGGTTGGATCTCATCTCTACTGTGACCCTTTTGAGAGGGGTGGGGGCGGTCTCTCTGCTTAGATGTCTTTAATGACAGGGAACTGACTGCTCCTCTGCCCACCCTAGACTGAAAACATCCTCCATCTTCTAGGTGATCTTGGCTTCTGAAGACCATTCTTCCTGGCTGTACTTGTCAGTGGCTTCATGTTGGGGTATGGGAAAGCAGGAAGCTTCTCATAATTCAGTCCCGGAGGGGGGGGTGTTGCAGAGCTAAGATGTGGAAGGGTCTCCAGCCTGGAGGCTGGACCCTAAGCTATAGCGTAGTTACTCAAAAGGCTGACTTTCTGGGCTACTCCTTTTTTTTTTTTCTATGCTACTTTGCATCTCATTTGTATCATATGTAATTCAGCTACACCCTTGAACCTTAGGAGCTATGGCGAGAAGCAAATGGGAGGAGCCAGGGGAAAAAAAAAAAACGGCAAACAGAGAAGAAAAGAGACTGGGCCTTTTGTTTACCCAGACTCTTCCTAGCTTCTGATGGCCTGCCTTTCTCCACCTGAGAGATGAGGAAGTAAGCCACCTGCTGCTTACCTTACAAGATTTTTATGGAGATCAAATGAAATAGAGAATGTGAAATTAAATTGAGAAGCAAGAAGCTCTGTTGGCAGGCCTGGATAATCCTATTGACTGGTGGGGAGACAGAGAGGAATGAGGTCAGAATGCCTGTTAAAGCCATGGTCCTGTGAGAAAGGGACTGTCAGACTGCCAGGACAGAGGCTCTGGTTTCAGCTGTTTTCTGGGGAGCAGGAAGCTAATGCCTGCTACAGATTCAACTCCATTCCCCCTAAGGGTAGGAATCTGGGGACTTGTGATCTTCTAGACACACCCACACCTGTATGTTCACATGCACCACATGCTAGGTGTCATGACATGTCTCCTTCAGTCTCCCTGTCCCCATCTCCTAGGGCATGTTATCAACACCTCAGAGTATACCTTAAAATTGTGTAGAAATAAGTTCCAAAAGAAGGCGAGAGGAAGCCAGGCAGTGGTGGCGCATGCCTTTAATCCCAGCACTTGGGAGGCAGAGGAAGGTGGATTTCTGAGTTCGAGGCCAGCCTGGTCTACAGAGTGAGTTCCAGGACAGCCAGGACTACACAGAGAAACCCTGTCTCGAGAAACAAACAAACAAAAAAGGCCAGAGGAAGACTGTCTCGAAGAACAAGCAGGACATGGTAGCACATGCTTATGATACCATACTTGGGAAGTAGAGGCAGGAGAATCAGGACAGCCCCTAGGTACACAGTAAATTTGAATTTGAGGTCAGCCTGGGTTATGAGATCCCATCTCAAAAACAAAGCCTGGAAGTGATAGCACATGCCTTTAATCCTAGCACTTGGGAGGCAGAAGCAGGCGGGTTTCTGAGTTCGAGGCCAGCCTGGTCTACAGAGTGAATTCCAGGACAGCTAGGGCTACACAGTGAAACCCTGTCTGGAAAAAAAGCAAAAACAAAACAAGCAAACACATCAAAAAATTGGAGACTTCAGATGCAAGAGACCAAGGGCAGAGGAGGTTGGGGTTTATCTCTGTTTTGATTTGATGCCCCATACCCCAGAGGATCACTGTTTGTTTTGACCTCACTGGGGTGAAGGGAGTACATAGAGAGGCCTGGACTGTTCGTTCTCAAAAAGTTCAGTCTGTTTGCATAAGTAATCTTGATCCAAGGTCCTCAGAAAGTAGGTCTGCAGCTGCCTGGTGATGATTCTGAGAGGATGAGCTTGTGGTCCAGGGCCATAAATAAGGTGCTCTAAACCTTTTTTTAAAGTTTTATTTATTTTATGTATATGAATACACTGTTGCTATCTTCAGACACACCAGAAGAGAGCATCAATCCCATTACAGATGGTTGTGAGCCACCATGCGGTTGCTGGGAATTGAACTCAGGACCTCTAGAAGAACAGTCAATATGCTGGGCAGTGGTGGCGCATGTCTTTAATCCCAGCACTGGGGAGGCAGAGACAGGCAGATTTCTGAGTTCAAGGCCAGCTTGGTCTACCGAGTGAGTTCCAGGACAGCCAGGGCTACACAGAGAAACAAAACAAAACAAAAGAATAGTCAATGCTCTTAACCTCTGAGCCATCTCTCCAGCCCAAGGTGCTCTAAACCTTAAGGCTGTAGGAATTATAGATTCCAAGACTGACACTTGAATTATTGCCCAACACATTAGGCAACCACCAAGAGGCACAAGTAATGGACAAGGTTCAAGTTATGATGTATTTGGGTTCCCACGTGAAGGCAATGGCATACAAGGAAGCTGGGATCAGAATGGCTGCTGAGTGGACAGATGGGTGGAAGATGCCCACTTGTAAGCCTACTAGATACTGTCTCCTTCCAGGGACCTAATGTCCCCTGCCAGGCCAGGGGCCTGGAAAATCCTTTTTCATTAAAGCTGGAGATATCGAACCACAGGCTTATTCACTTTGGTCTCTGAGTTCTTGGCTTCTGGGTGGGAGATTTGGTCCCCTGTGGTCCTGGACTTTCTCCTCCTGTTCCCTGGGCCAGAGCTAAAGGGAGAAGCTTTGGAAAGGAAGTGAGTCAGGGATGGAATCCGGTAGAGGAAGCTTTGCGAAACCAACTGGCTTCCCTCCCCACCTGACTCCACCGAACTGTCTTGTAGCCACATCTGTAATCCCAGTGTTCAGAAAGCTCAAGCGGAAAACTTGCTGTGATCCGAGGCTATCCTTGGCCATAGATAGTAAAATCTGTTTCAAGCCAAAGGGCTGAAGATGCAGCTTGGTTGGAGGAGGGCATGAATAAAGCTAGTGTTTAAAAACACCACACCTGTAAATCCTGGTGCTTGGCTTTCAGAGGCAGGAGGATCAGGAATTCAAGGTCT